TAATTATATCCACGAATAAATTCATATCAAATCGAATGTAATAAATATTTCGGACATTCACCAAAGCATATCTGTGATTGTCGACATACACCGGTGAGGGTCCGAATGTACAAGAATGTAATGAAATATTCGATCTTTCACCGACGTATTTGGTGTTTGTCGACATTCACCGGTGAAAGTCCACAACCACCGATTTCGGTCATTCGCCGTAACACACATATATAAAATAATTGTTTATTATTGAATTTAAACAAATCATATTTTTTGGAATTTTTTTAAATATCCCTAAGGCTTACGTTCATATTTCAAAAATCCATCATCATCTTCTGCTCCACCGCATGATTTTAATATATCCTCAACTTCACCGTCTGTTAATCGTTCGCCTGAAACGAAATAAAATAATTACTTGCAGTGTGATACCAGATCAAGATTGTATATGAAATCTTATTTGGTAGTTTTACTTCTTTGTTGTCTAACTGACACTATGATAATTGATCAGGACTGTCTCGTTAGCAACAATTCATTTAAAAACTTGCTCAAAATCTTTCCCGATATTAGTTTTTTTATTAATACATAAAAAATATAAAAAAATACTTTTATATAGAATTAAAGAGTGAATAAATTTAAATAATGCAAAAATGTATTTTAATACAGGTGAGGAGACAGTTTTCATCAATTATTTTTTGGCCAATAAAATTAATGTTTAATAAACTAACTTTTCTTCATTTCATTGATTACTCATTGAATTTTCAAAATTTTAATATGGACTAAAATTCGAAAGTAAAATCATAAAATTTATTTTATTAATCGTGTGATAAGTTGCATTTTTGAATTTTTCAGAGCTAAGATAGCAGGATTTCAACATTTTAAATTGCACGATTCAATTGGAGAATTCAGGATTTCAACTGGTACTTAGACAGATCAAATACCATTGTAATGGATATTGTGATTGAATAGTTAAATCTATTAAATTTTTTGAGAAAAGATTTATTTAAAATTAATTTAAAATTTATTTAAGTTTTCTGAAATTTTTTATGTAATACTAAATTTAAAAATCAATAATAAATTATCTGGAATTATTGTTATTTAAAACGTAATAAAAACTATTAATGTTAATATTTAAGCATAATTTAGATCAACACAAATAGTGAAGTCGAGCTCAGTTAAAATGTCACGAAATAAACGATGCTTCAGTAAATCAGATAATACTTCTTAGCATATTGATGATCATAATTTGCTTATAAATTATTAGTTTATTAAATAGATAACGGATTGATTTTGACGTAATTTATTTCATATTTTTGCTAAATTCATACTTGTTATAAAATAGTACTATACTTTGAAACAACACCATTTCAGAGTTAATACAAGACGAAAACATCAAATTTTACTATCACTTAATCTCATGTAAGTTTTCTTTAGATAAACAAGGATTATTCCTGTCTAAAAAGTACCTCAGTCCCAGTGCTCTTTCCACATTCCTGTTTTTTTTTTCTTTTCTTTTCGTTAGACTTAATTTAAAACCGTAGTATCCAACCGAACTCATTTATTATGAGCCTGCTTGAAAGAAATCCTGGTTTTGATGAACACATCTTTTTAACAAATAGTTATTTTAAAGTTAAAAGAATTTTAGTTAAAAGGCTATTTGTTAAAAGATAAAAGATTTAAAGCTAAAAGGCCATTTGAAGTAGCCTTCACACATTCGTCTATTTTATTTGAGCACTTGCTCACTCATACAAATGTTTGATAGTTGCAGATGACCTTCACAATCAGTTCATCAATTTCTCATACCACCGTGGAGCATCTCATCAGCAACTTATTACCTCATTTATGTTATAAAGTAAAACCAATGTTGCACACTGCATTTTCCACCAACCCTTCATTGAACATCGTAACTAATATTCTAAATATGTGCCTATTTTTACAAACGGCTCAAAATCTGATATGTTCGTTGTGGTGTCGTCATCACTGATGAAACTTATAGCTACGAAATTTGAAAATTTGGCACAAAGGTTGATTTCTTCAAGCTCTACACGGAGATATTGTATTTACTCCGAAAGTAAAAGCGTTTTGCACCAGTTATATAATCTTCTTTGAGATAATCATCCAATTTTATGTTTTATTATTCATTTGCTGATCAGTCTTCGCAGAAATGGGTTTCACGTGCTGTTTTGTTAGTGCCGAGTCACACTGGCGTACCAGGAAAACATCTGATTTTATTCACTTACTTGTACTATTTTAGCAAATTTGATCTCACAATAATTAAAGTGTAACATGCATCTTAGTTTTTATCTATTTTAACATATTGTTTGGCACAGCATGTCCTCTTTTGGACTTTGTGCCATTAATTCCTATATTAAATTCAATTCAATTGATGCTGCTGTGTGAAGAAAACCTTTTTTTAAGTTAACACCAAATCAGGCCTTAAAGGTTAAATCATATAAACTTACAATGGAAAAAATTCACACCAAGCTCACGCCGAACGTCAATAATTTTTGCTTCCGAAAAAACCAATGTTCTTGCACTTTTTATACTGTATATAGATTGTTTACAATCGGTTACGAGTTGCCGTGAGTTCTATCAATGCTTCGATACCCCGATGATTACAAAATATTAAGATGAAATAAAAGATGAAATTTTCCCTTCATCTGATAAGGAATATAGAGTCCAAATTTGAGACTTGTATCTTGATAGAAACGTGTTATGCATCATTCTATCAATTACATAACTTTCAAGTGGAGTAATCACCCTATTACTTAAGACAATCGAAATGAAAAAAAAATTAGTTTTTCTATTTCTATTATAAAGAACACTTGGCTCAAATTTGAGACTTTTATCTTGGTAAGAACGAGTTATGTAGCATTTCTGCCAACTAAGTGGACCTTAATAATAATAAAATATCGGAATGTAATCTTTTTAGTGTCCCCCTTAATCTGATAAGGTACACGATTTCTATATTTAAGACTTATATCTCTGTGGCAAATTAAAACGTGCTATTTAGCTATACAGTTAATTACACTAACAGCCCCCTAATTACTTAGATAATTAAAGAATATCGAAATTAAACTTCTTTTAATTTTACCCTTTATCAAATAAGAAACATGTGGTCAAAATTAAAAACCTGTCATTTAGCATTACTATCAATTAGGCTAATTACTCTCTAATTTCCCCGATAGAGGGAACAAAATTATGAAATGAAACTTTTTGGGATTTTATATTTATCTCATAAGGAACACATGTTCTAAATTTTAGTTTTCTAACTTTATGGGAAGTGGAGAAATTAAGAGATGATTAAGTGAAAGCTATGCTTTTATTAGGCTTATTTACCCCTAATTTCCCCCATAATTACATAATATCGAAATGAAATTTTATTAGTTTCTCTTTTTATCTGATAAGGAACACGTGGTCTAAATTTGAAACTTCTATTTTAGTGGAAAACATTTGTTTATATAACTTTCAATTGGGAGTAATTACCCCATTAATTATAACAATCAAATTGGAACATTTTAGTTTTTCTATTTCTATAATTAAGTCCATGGTCCAAATTTGAGACTACTATGCCTTGGCAAAAACATATCCTTTAGCATGATTGTTAATAAGGCTGATTACCTCCAAAATTACAAAAATAGAGATAAAACGTTTTCAGTTTTTCTATTTATCTCATAAAAGAACACATGCTCCAAATTTAGCTTTATAACTATTGGGAGTGTGAGAATCAGTGAAGAGGGGGTCAGTAAGGGCTTAACCTTTAATGCATACAGACAGGGCCGGATTACCCATTAGGCCAGACTAGGCCAGGGCCTGGGGCCCCCAATGATTAGGGGCCACCTTAAAATGGATTTTTTGAAAATAAATTAAGAAAACTTAAGAAAAACAATGATTTTTCAAAATGTTATGATTATTTTTTAGTTCTAATTTAATTAAATACAGTAGAATTTAATTTATTATTATTTATTTTAATTTTAAATATGCTTTCTTAAATGAAAAGATCTATAAACACTCTTATATGTGAATAAATAAAAAATATGCGAGAAAAAAAATTTAATCTAAGGGCTCCAAAAATTTGAATGGCCTAGGGCCCCGCGTGCGCTTAATCCGCCCCTGTATACAGATAATTTCTATTCGCTTCTGCGCTGGTAGAATTAATTTGAATTCGTCTTAATTTTCTGTAGGATTTGCAAATTTATATTACTTTTTAGAATTAGTGTATACATGCATCCTAAATCAACCATAGTGACTTAATATGTCTCGTATAAATAACTATACTGTCTCTTGGACAGTGGTTGGAAAAACTACATTATTTTTGTAGTTAGCTACAACTACTATGTTACAAATGTAGTTAACTACAGCTACAACTACTTTTCTTAGAAACTACTTTGGAGATGTAGTCATTACATTTAGAAGACGAACTTCATTAGAGAACTTAATTCATACCCATGTTCAAAATAGTTCGGAATAAAAAATTGACTCATTCAAATGATATCAATCATTAAGAAATATTTATGCATGAGTCAGTTGGTTAAACCATTTTTTACGAATTTGTTCTTTTAAACTTTTCATACCTTTCTTGACAGAATTTAAGAAATGCTAGAAAATTATCCAATATTTTAAATTTTCTTAAGTGTTTAATGCTCTTTTATTTTCTTTAAGAATTAAAGTACCAAGAAAATAAATTTTCTTCTATTGAATTAATATCAATGTTTCATAAGAGTACATTCGCATTTGAAGGGGGGGGGGCAAAGTGATAGATTAGCTATAATCCGTAATGGCTAGTTCAATACTAGTAATTCTAAATGCATAATTCTTATTAACGCTCAGCTGAAGGGGCATTCTCATAGCGTCCACTGATGAACCAGCAAAGATTTGTAATAATTCGATTCGAAAAATCAGCTGAATATGAGCATTGTTTCTTTTCTAAACAAATGTAAAAATGAGTTGTCAGGAATCGCTACAAACTACAGCTTTTTTTATGTACATATATCACACTATTGTTTTTTAAAAGTAGCACACTACACTACAAACTACGAAAAAAAGTAAAGACTACACAGTAGTTTCGCTACTTGCAGCGCGTTACTTCGGATCACTGCTCTTAGGTGTATCTCATGTTAATATAATTAGAAATATTAGTATTGCTGAATATCGAAAATGGTGGTAGCTACTTTACGCCAAGTAGTGTAAAAGAACATTCTTTGTGTCTCACAACGCTCGGAACTGTTCTTCGTTGGACACCACTTTGAATGTGTAAACTAGTTGCCTTCGTTTTTGGTGCTTAAATGCACTAAACTTTTTACACTATTACAGAGAACTCATATATTTGCAGGCATGTGAGAACAAAAATTTGTATAATAATTCGTAGTATATAGCTTTTAATAAAAGGTAACAAATAAAAAAATCATGAAAAAATCCCTAACATTTAATATTGTTTTCGCAACAGGGGAAATTATATATTAAAAAAAACTTTATAAATGACGATTTTAAAGAAAAACACGTATTTAATTATTATACTTTTTTATTATTAAAATATTTTTATTATTATTTATACTTAATTATTATTAAAGCACGTATTTAAATATTATACTTTTTAGCTATCATTTTTTTATTTATGTACATTCAATCAAGAATAATGAGTGACAAAAATAATTAACCTCAATGATTAATTTGGAATAAGAATAGCTGTCTTCTTTGGTTTCGTAAAAAGTTATTGAACGCCCCGAAAATAAATTCAAAAAAAATTTAAACAGTGCCTCTCATTATAATTAGTACATTATTACTCTATCTCAAGTTGAAAATCTGCTTAAGCTACATTAAGCATGTTTCGAATTTAAATGATTTAAATTACTTACCAATTCTTACAGAGCAAAACCCTATGAAAATCATTAATCTAAGCATCGGTAAAATAATACCTAAGCATTTAAATAAATAATTTTAGTCTTCCACTAACAAGAGGTTTCAAAATAAATAAAAAAATCTTCCATTAATAAAAGTAAATTTAATGTTAATTTTTTTAGTTTTTTCTATATATATTCTGAATATGTTTGTAAATGGTTATAAGCTATACAATATATGAATACAAAACCCATTTCAATGCAAAATTTGCTTATTTTTCAACGTGTTTCAACTTAGTTTCGGTTGAACCTGCGTACTTCGTTTTGTTTGCTTAGTACTTACACTGTTTATAATATACTTCAAACAGGAAATTCTTTTTCCACAAGAAAGACAAGCATGTTCCACTGCTTATTTCTAAGAGCTGTGGTAGACTGAACTTATCGTACTTACCTTCGCATTAGATACAGATATTTGTTTAAAACATGTATTATTTATTTAAAAAAAAAAACTACAGAAAACTCACCAATGTTTCGATAACAACTCACGTTAAAATGCGTTTAAGGTAAGAGCAAAACTAAACTTATATACTTTACCTTCATACTTCAGCTAAATGCATATAAGTAATTCTAGATCTTCATTAAGGGTCAGAGTTTTGTCAGGAATGCAAAAAATTACAATGCAAAATTAGAATTCCCCAAAATGAATTTTTACCTTAATATTTGCTATTATTATTATTGTATTGTTTTTTTTTTTACATCATTGGCATCAGATTTTCTTTCCAAAAGTTCATTAAAAATGAATCTCGGGAAAAACTCAAATTGGTTTTCCTAGTTTTTTTTTAAGTGGGTTTATTCAATTTTCCACGAATAATCCTCGAAATCTCCCAGTGGGTTTGTTTTTCGGGAGAAAAATTCATGTTACAGTTCTGGTTCACTCTAAATATAACAGTAGATCAAAGTTCATAGTAACTTAGTGAGCTATTAAAAATGTGCATTAAAATCAATTTGGAAAACAAATTTTTGCATAACCCAAGTGAAATAGATAAATTTTCATTCATAAATAATTATTCTATACCGAAAACTATCTTTATAAAATTTGCCATGTTTGTGGTACCTTTCTCTACTTCAATTTCCAACTTCCTCTTATTTATTCTTCGTTTATTTATTCTTTTTTCTATTATTATTATTATTTTACTTAAACTTCCTTTGTCACAAATTCGCATGTAATTCATACTTCTTGATATATATAATATGAATAAAGTCAATTATTTTAAGTTTATTATATATAATGAAATTGCTAAAAATTAACTTCTAGTAAAAAAAATTGTTAATATGAGTAACAAATAAATTCAACTAATTTTATTTATTGATGTTTCATCTTTTAACTATCTTTGATTTCTTTGTCTAAATTTAACTATTTGATCTTAATAATAGCAAAAGTGTTTCCTTTTAACTCACCTAAAGATAATAAAACGTGAGCTAATTCTGCGGCCAACATAGTTCCATTTTCTGCTTTGTCGTAAACTTTAAGGCCTTCCATAAAATCTTCTAGTGTACCAATTTCTTTTTCTTTCCTAATTTGGCTAAAGATAGGCAGGAATTCTTCAAACGACAACTTTTTTTCTCCTGAAAGAATAAATTTAAATTTATAGAACTACAATACTAGTATGGTAACGTTATCTAAATGTTCTTTAGAATTCATTTTGCGATTTATTTGGTAATTTTAACCTTTTGACGCCGATTTCTTTTTCTAAATAGAATGGGAATAATCTGTTTGCACTTTTAAAATGGGAGTTTATTTAAATTTTGATAGGAGTTAGATGACTGTTAATAAGTACTTATTCTAAGATAATTTCTCAATTATAACAATGTATAAAGAAACATGAATGATAGCTTCAAATATCTAAATAAAGTATTTTAAAAATACTAAACTCATACATCAAACTACGGTGACTGTTTTATCCATCTTTTATGGAGGTAGTCGGATTTATTCATTTATTTACATAATGTGGACACCTTTGTAATTGCGAAAAACACCTTAAAAACTCTTTTTCAGGTTGAAAAAAAAAGATAGCAACATTTTACGAAAGACAGCAAGAATGTACATTCAGTGTTATAGCGGGATTCGAACTCACTCGCTTCACAGTATAACTATTCTATGTATAACTATGGAGGATATATAGAGTATAACTAAGGTTCCACGGGGAGTGTAACACGGGGATTGTCACGGGGAGTGTAACAGTTAAGCTATTGATTTAATTTATCAATTTCCAGGCATTTGTACATTTATAAATGTAAATTTTTTTATTGTTTTAAAGGTTAGTAAATGTTAATTTATTGCTTGCATAGGAAAAAAAGCCAATCAACTTATGAGAAACAATGTTAACAACTGTTTACTAAATAAAATAGAGGTTATCAAACTGAAATTTTTTAAATCATCTCTAAATATTACTGTTAAAATTTTTAAAGGAAATATGGTAAAAATTACCAACTTTTACCACATTTACTACCAAATAGCACGGTAATAAAAATCATATTTTTTGGTTAATTTTACCAAAAAGTCATTACCAAAGCGCTTCGGTAAAAATTACCGTGAATTTTTATGTTTGAGCCTGAAGCACACACACACGGAAAATTGTAACATATTTTGGTAGTTGTGACCATACTATTTTTCTCAGCGTAGTTTTTACACCAATTAAATATTCAATACGCCTATTATTAATATTAAAGCTAAAAAAGAAGCTTAAGAAGAGTTATTATTTATTTCAATAAAATTATAGAGAACCAAGATTTCTATGTTTTTTTTCTAATATTTATCACAAATACAAAGCAATTAAAACATGTCAGTTCATATATTTTCTCCACTTGGATATAGTTTAGAAATCATTGTAAAAATTATGGTATCTTATTGTGAAGCACAAAATAAATTGCATTATATGACAAAGCAATCTACAAGTTACATAAGTTCAAAAGTTATGAGAGGTCGAAAGTTCAAGTTAGTCTTTGCAGAATTTAAGTTCAAAAAGAAATATTTTACCTTAAGACATAGAAAAAGGGTTAGTATTTAAAGGTGACGACTTCAATTTGAAAAAAATGTTTTATTGAAAATTTTATCCTAAATTAGTAAAAAAAAAATCAAGTTTTCAGTAATTAACAATTACTTAAACATTGCCTGGTTTTCAAAGATCGTATAAATTTATATTATGATGCAATTTTTTTCTTCATTGAAACCAGTAAATTTGATTTGTAAAGACTGGTGACTAATGATTTTCTGTTTATTCAATGCATTCACATTGTATTGAATAGGTACTGAAGTGTAATAAATTTTACAAACAACGATTTTGTGTGAAAAAAATCTCTGGAAAATATAAACAATTCTTATGTTAAAATATTTATTTAATATCAAAAATATCATTTTTTTAACTTTTCATGAAAAACATTGTTCTTTCAAATTAAAACCGAAACCCTAAAAAAAAAAAAACTTCCTATCCATTAGCCCAAAAATTTTGTTTTCCAGGATATATTGTAAATCTGTTTTTTAAATCCAAATTCAGAAATGTTTTGAATCACCTTTATAGATAGATATTTTTAAAGTTTCTAAATATACTGAAAAGTAGAAAATGATGAAAGCTTTATGGTGATAGTCGATGGAAAAATAAAAACTACTAAAACCAATAGTAGTTCAGTCAACCCTTTCCTTAAAATATTTTTTTGTTCTGAAAAGCTTATATTCTGTGTAAATAAGTAATGCAGTTTTGCTTTTGATTGTACACAATCAAAAGGCCTCACTTAAAATTAGCTATTATAAAATTCCAATTGTACATTTTGGAGGAAAATCTGATATTTCAAACTTGATGCTAAATCATTGTTTATTAAAATGTTTTGTTCTTTTTCTCAATCTTAGCAATTGTATGGTTTTGAAGTTTTGTATAGTTTAAAAGCGAAGTCATGTTTCAATAAACTAGCAAAATGTATACAATTTATAATATTAAATTATAAATTATTGTAGAAAGCAGTTAAATTATAATGTTATGAACGTTTTTAATTAAAGTTCATTTTTTTTTCTTTCTAGAAAGTGCTTGATTTTTTTTATAATATTGAAGCGACGTTACCTTAATTAAATTTTCATTCACTCTATATTAAAATTTATTTACCTTTCTTCTTTGCTCCTCCATTTTTTTCAACAGTTGCTATAGTTGGCTTGCAATCTAGTGATCTTAAGAGATCACCTAGGTCCTTTGCATCAATTTTACCTTCTCCTTCAAAGTCATAGATTTCGAAGTGTTCTCTGGCCTCTGAAATAACTCTTATGTTGTGAAATTGAAGCAAGTTTCAGTACTAACTTAATATCATCACATTTATAAAAATTATTCTTTTCTTAAAGCTTAAAAAATTGCAGAATAGTTCTAATTTATTTTTAAGCATTTTTAGAGAAAAAATTAAATAATCTTATCATCTTTTTGTGCTAAAAGCTTAAGTGCAAAAAGTTAAATTTGAAAATATAGTATGTACAATGAATTAAAGAGATAATAAATATTATATCAAATAATAAATATTCACAAAATGTTATTTTTTGCTTAGAAATATCTTATAGGAATTTTACAATTTTACCCAAATTTTTTTTAATTCGCTTAAAGATTTCTTGAGATATGGCGAAATAAGTAAAATTAGCAATAACAAAAAGTAACATTAACAAAATAATGTTAATTTTACTTTTTGTTAATTAACATTAACAAAAATAAAATTAACATTAAGGAATTCAAGCTTTGGATCGTTCTTCTAAGCAAACTAGGAGACCATATTTCCCATATTAGAGTTACCCCCTTTATTTTGGAAATCAGAAATCTGAATCTGCTGGAAAAAAAAGATATGTTTATTCAGGGAAAGTACGTTTTGGGGTCTGATTTCATAACTTAAAATATCGTCTGCGCTAACTAGTTAATTTTTCTGAGGTCACCCACTTGAATTATTAAGATTGAGTTCTAGAACGTGAAAATCCGATAATTAGATCAAAAGTTATTCCGGGTGATCCATTTTTTTTTATATTGTACAAATCAAATATATGAAACTTCTTACTATGACAAGTTTTTGTTTAACTTTCAATATTTGTTATTGTTTTAAAAGCAAGATTTCTAATGTACACATTTAACTACTTTTTTCGAAATTACTCCTTTAAATATCTTCTTTTTTCCCCAGAGGTTTGATATAGCATCTAAAACAGTACCGATTCTAGTAACTGATCAAAAAATGTATCCCTTTAAAGTAACTTTTTGCCACTCAGATTTCAAAAATGTTTCCTGAAGGGCAGAAACAGACGGGATTATGTTTTTCAATCTTTGGCATCAGGCAAGTTGTTATAAAAGCCAATTCCAAGATACTATTTCTTTGTAAATTTTTTATTTTTTCAATCTTGAATTATTAGGGCTTAGGCGCTTCTATTCCTTTTTCAATTCACAGTTCCGAATCAGTGCAATTTTCCTCGGTGTTTATTTTATCAGAATGGGAATCTTTTTTATCAATTGAAAGTTTTTTCCGATTTTTGTCGAAACGATTTTGTCAGCTTTTAGAAGTAAATTTAGATTTGCTGATCATCGGTGATTGTGTAAGCAAGCTTTTTATGTAAGACATTTACAGTTGAGGTGTAAGTTTTGCATATTTATTGTTACCAGGATTCTTTTTTGAAGTAGTCTTTTGAGATGATGCAAGCTATTTAGAGGGTTGTGAAGAGGACTAAGTAGATAATGATTTTAAAATAGTTGGGTGTCTGCTGAGTTGCTTTAAAAGATTTTGTTGTGGATGTACTGGGAATTTGTTTAGGTAGTAATATTTTTAATTTTGTTCTCTGTGAGTCTGTTTCTTCTTCATTGTATTGTATGACTATGAATTACGTTATTTTAGAGTTTGATACTACAGCTGCATATGAAACGTTTGGGAGTAGCTGTGAGTTTAGGAATTTGTCTAGGCTTATAGGAGATATGGATTTTGTGTCACTTTAATGTTTAAAATTGGTTGCTCCTGTTTCCATTTTTAACACAGTTACGAATTAGCAGTGTGAGATTAATGGCAGTTTATGCATTGTTTAGGTGATGGGCAAGATTTAAATGAATGCCCTGCTTGACCACACTGAGAGTAAGTTTCCCACTGTGTTGGTAGAATGGCCAAACTTTTGGCATTTGAAACAGCGTAGAGGATTGAGGATGTCAAGACAAACTTTGCAATTTCTATATCCAGCTTTTAGATCAGGTAATGTAGCTGCATTGAAAGTTAAAACTATATGTTGAGTTTCAATAATTTCTGATTCCTTCTGAATAGTTATGTGACGGGCATCAATAACGTATTGGGTAGAGTCTTTCAATGATTTAAGATATTAAGTGGATATTACAGAGCTTTATCGGATATGATGCCTTTAGATATGCTTAAAGTGTTGTGTGGGGATTTAGTTATAATGACGTTGCCAAATTTGTGTGATTTTAGTAGTGAAGTGGTTTGTTTTGCAAAGGAAGTTTAAAATAATAAATCACCTGAATGCAATTGTCGAAAATTTTTTTGAGTTTCCTATGAGTGATTCGAGTGATTTTCGTTCAAGAAACGGAGACAAGGTAGAAAGCTTCTTTTCGGTTGAATTAAGTATTATAAATCTTGCTTTTGTCGGGTCGTAATTAGTACAATTTGAAAGGTAAAAACTAGGTGTATGTTTACTTCAATTAGGCAAAAAAGTTGTTGTCTCCATAAAGCATGAAGATCGTCTCCGCTAGACACTCCCATGACTACCATCGAGCCTAACAAGGGGAACAGAAACACCTGTTCCAGCCTCGGTGCTTTGTCCAGGGTAGCTCCAGTTATCTACGCCAGGAAAGTGTGGATCCGCCTAAATTATCAGAGCCCAGAGGCCCTCCCCTGATGCAGCACGTAGTCCCTAGCAGGGTGCTAAGCATGCCCTACCAGCCGGTTGAAAGAGAGGGGGGACCTAACCTCCTTCCTTTCACCTAGGGTGAAGCCCGGGTCACGGAGCAATCAACCTGCAACCTCCGAGAAAAAATTGCCCCCTTGGGTGCCATACTCACATGAGAATAAAAACGGGTAACTCTAGGATTCCCTTTTCCAACTTACGAGAAATATGCTCACGGCAAATATGCTGGTTAGCAATAGTTTACATTATTAGTCTATAATCTTTAGAAAGAACTTGGTTATTACAAATAAAGATATAAAACACAACCGCTAGATCAGGAAACCAATCAAAAATATAGAAACAAGCAGAATTTTGAAAACCTATAATCTGCAAATGTTGATTAGTGTTTTAAAAAAAATAATATTCGCTCTCTCGGTCAATTTTCTAATTTGTTAGAAAGTCAGAAACTCAAAATAGGACTGTCGCAAGAGAGAAATAGAAGAATGCTAAAGTCCAGCTCGAAGCCAAGGTAAGCCATACCCGTCAAAATAGAGTGTGCCCCTGGGGGGAGGGGCTAAATGAATATAATTTAGTTATAATTTAAAGTTTATGTAAAAACATTAAAAAAATAGGTCAGATGGCTATAGAAAAGAGATAACCAGTTTAAACACTTACAATATGTATTTGTTAATACATTACAGCGGATACAGTTTCATAGGTAGCAGTTTAACTTCTACATCAATTTCGACAAAGGGGTAATTTTCGTGACAGCAAAAATTATTATGTAAAATTTAAAATTTTATTTTATTTAGGGTACAAATATTTTTTTTTAAATTTGGTATTTTATTGTTTTTCAATACGTAGGTAATATTTTTTTTAATACTAGCTGGACCTGTAAGGCCAATATTTAATCCAATCTTTGTTCCCGAGCAAAAAGCAAACGATTATAATGCGGAATGACATAATAAATTCGACGGAAATATCATCTGCAGCCCTAGAAGAGATGTCCGCATAAAATCAAGGAGTGATAGCCACATTTTATTAGTGCGAATAGACATATCAAAGATCGCAGGGTCATTAAGCTTCAAAATTGGTGAAAAAGAAAGTAAGAAAATAAAATGTATTTTAGTAAATTCGTATTCACCACCGTTCTTAATATTTTCAAATAAATCTAGTTACAAAATCTTTATTTTCGGTAATAGTTTTTCGTTTGGTTTCGAAATCTTAAGATGAAAGTTAAGAAAAAAAAAATCTTTGCATTTTTTATTATAATATTGAAACCACTTTTAAATTTTTTTAAGAACCGTACAAAGGCATAAGTATTCCATTCCGATTCTACAGACCTAATATATTATTCAAATCCAATAGAACCGTATAAGTTTATTTCAAAGAAACCTACAAATTATCCAATTCAACAGACTCAGAATTTAGTGAATATCAGTGTAGTAGCTGTAGAGAATATAATTACAACTATAAATAATGACTGGATGAACTGTACAATGTGCACACAGTGGCTCCATGAAACATGTAAAAAATTTAAAAACCTTTGCCAAAAATTTGATGAAGTTTTTTCAAAAGTTATTGATTAAATTATATTTTAGTTATGGATTAAATTATATTCTGTTTATTAGATTCTTTTTTTTTTCCTTACTTTTCGTGATCAAATTCATTATTTACAACTTATCATAAGTTTTTGATGGTTAACTGAGTGAAATGCGATATTTTTTCCATTTTAACTTATTTTTTATTTACAGGATAGAATGGACAACTCCCCTCAACATTAAGGAGAGATAGCTACTCGTAGGTTTTTTTTAAATTTTTTTTTAAATATATTTTGCTCTCAATATTTCATTATTCATTGCACGAAATATGTTGAGTGCATGTATAAGAAATTAAACTATGCATAAACATTTCTCCTGTAACTACGAGTATTATTAGTACTTTTATTTCAACTTGACAAAACTATGGCCATCCAACCTAGACTTTCCCTAGTTTAAAATAGATATACTTTCGATAATTTTTTTTTAAAAACCAGTTTACTCTGGAAATTTAAATCCTAAATGAATTTATAAACTATTTATAGTTATTTTAAATTTATACTGAAATCTGTACCTTGACAAGTTAAAAACTAATCAGCCAATTTAAGAATTCGATTGGAGAAGATAAAACATAGCACTACTTGCAGTTAATAAAAAAAAAAAAATAAAAAAAATTAAAAAAAAAATAAATAAAAATACATTTTAAAATCGATAGATTATTGACTGCTATTTAATATATAGTGTGTCCTGAAGTTCGAAATCCTAAATAAATAAATTTATGAACTATTCTTACTTGTATTTATTTGTTTTAAGTTAATAAGAAAATCAGTTCCCCGATGAGTTGAAAACTACTCGGCTGATTTAGAAGTTCGTTAAAAGAGGATAAAATATGTTAAGATTTAAAGTTTATAAAAAAAAACAACATAAATGAGACATTTTAAAAGCGATACACTTTTGATGGTTGTCATTTAGTATCTAGTTCGTACTGCAGCTCCGAATTCTAAATAAATCTATGAGCAATCTATTAATATTTACTTATTTTAAGATGATACGAAAATCAGTTTTCCGATGGGTTAAAAACTACACAGCCGATTTAAGAGTAGGTAAAGAGGGGATAAAATATGGTATGGCTTAAGGTTGAAGTGTGGGTGTGTAGTGACGGCTGGGAGTGTAGGAGTGGGTGAGTTGATGGAAAATGTCTGTGATACTTCGTAACCCTCAAAGTAAACATTGCAAATTTACCAGGACCTGGTTAAAGTGGCTGGCGGGGGTGGTGTTATCACTGAGCCCTAAAAAGGAAGACAAGACAAGATCTGGAAGCAGTTCATAAAATTTCAGCTAAAAATGGCACGCACAAATATGAAAGACCAAGCAAAAAATAAGCAAAATCCTTCAAAAACCATGGAATTATCGCCAAGAATGTTGAAAGGAATGGAAAGGCGAGAAAAATGTTTGTTCATACTTTTTCTCGTAAAAAAAGCCAATTGGATTCACTATTTCTTTAAATAATAAAACTAAGTAAAGAAAATGAATCCTTTGAGTCAACTCTTCCTCTTTCTGCTTCTTCGTTTTCCCTTCTTTTTGGTCTTCTTTCAAAATTTTAATTAACAAAAAAAGAAAAAAAAAACCTTCATCATTTCCGTAATTTAAAGGCTTTTGACCCTTTTAAGTTTCGATATTTTGAAACTAATGCACTTTAACAAAGAAGAAATAAAATTATTTGTTTTCAATAGTGCTAATTTTACAAGTTAAATTGTGTGCTAATAAGGTTTTAACATTCCAATATAAAATGCTTTAAGCAAAATTTTATGTATATCTCAATATTTCAATGTTCATGTATTCAGTTATATTTTATAGAACAGTTCTTTCTATTTATGTACACGAAAATTTTGAAATTGATATTTAGATTATTATTATTAATCATATAACATATTACTATATATAAGTTAATAAAACATGATTTCATAAAACTGTAATATGACACTTGCGAAAAAAAGCAAAAAAATAAATAAGCAAATAAAAATCTATAAGCAATTGCATGCGAATCATAAATAATTATATGTTAAGGTTCTACACTTTTTAAATGTTACGAATAAATAAAAATTAGAAATATTAGGATGATCGGAAAGTAATGTCGTTTCGGTGTATTTGATATTTGTCATCAAGATTTTATTTTTAGTCAATAATGTATTCACCCTCGTTAACAACAACCTTTGAATGCCGGATCGAAAATGAATCGAAATGGATCGAAAAAAATGAATTGGTTTTCAAAACTGACGAATATTTAATTCACCGAAACGACATTACTTTCCGGTTTCCCTAATAAATAAATGCTTAGACAAAAATGACCCCAATTGTGACTTTTAAAGTTAGTTATTTTAAGTGTAGAAAAGAAAACAAACGAGTCAGGCAATTATTTACTAAACAAAATAAAGCTTTATGTTTGAGGGCATTTAAAGAATCATGAAACTTACAGATAATGGTGAAAACATTGATAACAATTTTACTTACTTTCAACTTCGGCGGGTTTGAGATCTGCCTAAAAACAAAAAAAAATTGAATATAATTTATATAAGCCCATAAAATAGTTAAAAATGAGAATAAGAAATTGAGAATTTCATACAAAAAAAAAAAAAATTTTTTTTTTTTAAAAATATGTTGACTGATCTATTCTATTTCTTTAAAACAGGCTTTTTTCAATCCTGTGCCCCCAAACATTGCATCGATCTCCTATGGGGCTCATAACTCAGAATCAAATTTAAAAATCAGGGAAATTGCACTCATCCAAATATTGGGTTAGGGTCTTGCCGATTTTTAACTGATGTTTCCATTTATAATAATTAAGGGAATATTACAATCAGGAGGAGTATAACAAATGGAGGAGCATCAGTTAGAATGAAACATTTAAAACTCTTTGTTAACGTATTTAAATAATGGTGAAAAATTAACTTACTGTTAAAATTTATTTTTTTAAAATTTTTTTGATGCAGAATTTGAATTTTTCTGCGTCAGTCATCGAATGATGTAACTTTAGAAACTTAAAAGTATAGTTTCTAAAGAAAAAAATGAGTTCAAAGAGTCATGTTTTTAAAGAATTTTTTTGAGTACCAAACAGTATTGGTATATTTAATCACGGAGTATTGAACAAAATTATAATATGATTTATAATTTTATATTCTCGGAAATAATGATATTTCATTTTCTTATCAACCGGAAGCCTTTTAGGAAGTTGTAGTAGAGAGAGAAAGGAAATTGTCTTTTATGCTTTTAGGAAAGAAGGGAATATTTAGCGTGATAATTTATGATAAAATAAAAACCAAGCTAACTTTTAGTTTCATTAAGAATTTTATTATTATTAAAGCATCAATACAATCAGCTTGTACTGCTCCTTAGAAATATTGAAGTAGCAATACAAATAATGGGGTTAATTGGGACTAATATGATACACTCTAAATGATACTGTGTGACACATTGAAAAGACTTTACATTTTTACATAAGTTTTTATTTTCATTTCGCAAGGAATGTGTAATAATATTTATAATTATATAAAACACAAACAGTTCCAAAAGTTAAAAAATACAAGGTATTCCGTAAAGAAGACAAATTAGCATTTAAGCGAGGTAAAAAAACAAACAAAAATACTATGGAAATCTGAAAAACCCTACACCTGTTTCATTGCCGGAGGAAACAGAGATGAGTTGAAAGCAGGGACTAATCACTTCTTCACACCTGCCTTCCACAGTTGTGATTTGTCAGATTTAGATAGTGGTTTTTTTATTTGTGTAAATTAATTTTCAACCTCAAATCTGAATATTTTTTATGTTCTTTTTTTATTGGAATTCTAAAAATATGCATATTAAGAGCGATCTACTCGGAACACCTTATATATGCACATATATTGAATAACCTTTCAGAGCTTAACCGCAATTCCATTTAAAAAAAAATTTTAAAAAATTTTAAAAAAAGGCGGTAAATCTAAATTTATTTTTCTTTGATATCACATAAAAAATTATTTTCGTTTTAATTTTCTTGACAGTGAAAATAAAGTTGATCATTTATCTCGGGTTTGTTGGCTTGGTTATTTTTTGTAAGAAGTATTACACAGTTTAAAGTTCATTTTTCAAACTTAAATATAGAGACTAGTGTAGTTTACATGTGGTAAATGTTTGTTGATTATTTTTTCACCTAATAATGAAATTCAATAGATTAAAAATCGCATTTACTACAGTAAGTTTTTATTAGCATTCAGAAAGACTAACATGATTTCAAAAAATTTTTGAAAAATGAAAAGTATATACGCAGAAAAAACAAAAAACTGAAGGCTTCTTTGACTCAATTTTTTATTGTTGAAATTCTTTAAAACTTTTGGTGTATCAATAAAGCCCGATTTTCTCGACTAATATGATACACTGTTATTTGTTTGCTTTAGAAAGTATTATTTTTGGAGCATTAAATATTTCTTATGCATAAACAAATAGACAAAATAAAAAACACATAATTTTCAACAAATCTCAACAGCTTAAAAATAATATTGCAAGCTTACATTTTTGTCTTAAACTGTTCTCGATTGACTCTACTTTTTACCTTTTTTCTTTTTCTTTTTTTAAAAAATATAAACCTTGTTTTATCTACAAAATTATTTATTAAAGATCTCGACATCTCAAAATAAAGAATACATTTTTTAGGGTCAATTTAAAATAGAAGCAATGGATAATTATTTATTAGACATAAATTTGACTTGAGTTATTTTTAATTACCCATTTCTTTTTAACTTTATAAATGGCAATGCGTATTCGTGGGAGAATATATATATATTTTTATTTTCAAGTCTTGTTCAAAAATTGTTTTTTTTTCAAAATTGTATTATGCCCAAATTGTATTATGCCCAGAAGAAAAGAATTAGTTAGTTTAATTCTTTATTACTTAATTAATCATTCAGCTGTTTCAAACAAAAGTAAAGAAGTTGACCGTATCTGAAATATTTCAGCTACTTTCTAATAAAGACAAGTGTATATTTATACTAATAACGTCACTTGCGATTTATCTGGCACGCGAGTAAGAGCTGAAAGATTTATTAGCTTGTGTATTTCTGATTAAAGCAGAAGAAAATCAAATCAATGCAATTATCTTTTCATACATGACACAAGATGTTCATAATCAGTGACCGCAAAGAAAGAGATGATACAGATAAATTGAAAAGCTATTTAAATAAAAAGCACGCAAATCCCCCACATATTGAAAAGATAATAAAATATTAAATCCGTATTATTCAGTTAACTCAAGTAGGAAAAAATATTTCTCCGCCATATATAATGATTGGAAAAGGAAGGGGACGAGTGGATTAATCTAAACTGATGATTATTTCACAATTTACAATGAATCATAAAATTACCTATTTATATTCGATTCTTTGAAATAATTTTTGTTTATATCTTCAATGTTTGCAAAAGTCTAAATTAAAATGTATTGTAATGGTGAAATTCTAACTCATAATTTTACTTAAGTCGACGCTCCTTTTGCTTGGAACCCCTTCCTTTGAAACGCCTCGGCTTATTATTTAATTCTTCATTTCTTATTTGGTTATTATTCGTTACAACGACAATTTATAATGGCAGATAGAAATGTTGTTATAAAAAAATACACTTACTAAATGCTAAAAGGAACCACGGCACCAGCGTAATAGTTTGCTTTAGACGTCATTAATAACAGTGAATGTTGATTTAAATAGTAAGCTATTAAGAAGGGAAGACATTCTTTTGAAACGTTAAGCAGGATTCTTAAAAACAGTAGAAGAATTTGTCTTTTGCAATGAAGAATATTACTAACTGTTTGTCAACCATACATGCTTACTTTATTTACATAAAAATTTAAGTCTGTAAGAAAAAAATAAGGTGAAAAGATGTTCGCTTTTTAATAATTTGCATTGATACCGAAAATACAATAAAAATGTCTTCCATTTTGCTCTTTCTTGTATGATATTGCTAGTAATTTTTAAGTCATTATAAACACAAAATTTTTGTACTTTTAATATTAAAATTTGTTGTAATAGCGGACATCTCGCAATATGTCGTTCTCGTGACATCGAGCTGTTACTGTAATTATCTTGATCAAAATAAAGAGTTAATAGTGTTTGATAGTAAGCAAACTTTATATTAGATACAGATAACTGTTTTTCTTAACATTACTCATTAGTATGACTTTTTAGTATAGACTGGGAACATGCGTAACAAATAACTTATATAGAATGCTTTAGAATTATTTAAGAAATGTAATAAATAATGTATTTCAAAAATTTTGATACAAATATGATGTGATGGCTTTTGTTATTACGTTGTCATACTTATTTACACACCTTGAATTATGTTAACAAAAAACTCATTAAATGGCTAAAGGGATCTTCCTAGAGCAGCATTTATCCTTTGTCATTCATATATAAGTTGAATAAAAAGTTATCCCTTACTAGTTTATGATTTTTGCTTGGTTCCAATATATTTATATGCCTTTTGAAAACTTTTTTCTTAAAAATCTCATATTCAGTTTTCCTCAGAATGAAATTGTGTTTCGTTAACAGCGGCGTGAGATGAAAAGATTAGCCCTTTAAGATTAGGCTGTATATTCAATAAATCGACTTACAATTCAATATATAATTTTTAAACACGGGAGGAGAGATTATGAAAATTTAGAATTACAGTTTTTGAGATTTTTTTACCATCCATAATGTCGTTTATTTTTTTCAATTATTATTATTATTATTTTTGTCTTCAATAATGAAATTGCATTTTCATGTTCTGTTTAAAATTCTTCATAGCCTTCACACAAAAATCTTTATTTATAACAATAGCGGAATTTAAAATGAAATAACTTGAAAAAAGTACTGTTCTGGAGAATTTATCGAAACAATACTTTTTAATAGCAATTTTTGATTATTAAAAAAGAAAGTCGTTTATTAATTTTTCTAACTTAGATATTAGTTGTTACGTAAAATTTTTATTGCTTTTAATAAATCAAAGTTCGAATAATCATTTCAGTCTTGATTAAAAATTTTTTTTAAAAACTTGCTTTGTTTTTTTGAAAACTTATGATATTCAATAGCAGTGGACTAAAGTACTTTGTTAAACTGCTCAGTTAATTTGCTGAAACGAACTCAGCTTTTTTTCCTTTGATGCCGCACAATTTTTAGAGTGGGACTACTGAAAGAAATGAATTCATTAAGAATATTTATGTTAACTAACAAATTATTAAATTTAATTTATTTTAAATCATTGTTTAAAATATTTAATTTTCAGTAAATAACTTTGTTCAAGTCAACTCCCCACTCTCTTCAAAAAAAAATTAATGCATATTTAAATGAAATATAAATCGTATGTATATAATACATATTTAGCGCTGACGTCAATGATTAATAAAAGTTAAGTGAAGAACAACAATCTAGTGTTTTTTAGTACATAAAAAGAGATTAATTGTTTCTAGGCACCCATTTGCTTTCCTTCTAAAACCATAGATATTATTATTTTTTTGAATTTAATTTTTCAAAATTAATGAACAGTGACGTCAAAGAAACTCTTCCCAAGATCAAAAGAACAAGCATTAAAAATATTTTTTTACGGCTACTGTACATGCATAAACATTCAACTTTCTTTATCAAGCTAAATATTGCAACTATTATTCGATTAAATAAATCTAGTTTCCAACGTGAACAACCAGAATAATTTTCTCCTGATTCAGGATCAATAATTTGATTAAGTTATTAACTCTGAATCATGCTAAAAAATTAATATTTTGTTCTCTTAAATCTTTCTCCGATTATAAATTCAGTAAAAATCACAATAAAAATAAGAATTACTTAAACCACGGCTTATTAAAGTGAATTAATAATATTTTTTTTTTTTTTTACTTCAAAGACATATTTTCAAAATGCGTGCATTGAATATGTATATAACTTTATATTTGAATACATATTTAGTAAATTATAATATTCAATGAATCATTTTATCCTATAAAATTTTTTATTGAGCTGCTTTAAGCAAGAAAGTAAGAGAAATTTAACTATTAGTACAACTAGTATTTATAAAATGTGTTTTTTAAAATTAATATGGAAATTCTCAGAAAAATGTAATGAATTCAAGTTCAAGATATTCAGGTATTTGTTTTACATACTTAAAGTGTAGTTTTATCCATGAAAATATTTCGAAAAAATAATAAATACCCTCCTAAGCTTCACAATAATTATAAAAAATCGCGACATTGACTTTATTTAGAACTGTACTGTATTCTATGTCAAAGAACTAATTCAAATTAGAGAAATTCTTTTAAAAGTCCGAGAAATAGAATAATTAAGTTTAAAAAGTAAATGTTAAAGGTAAAATATAAGTAAATGCGTAATTTTTTTAAAAACGTTTTATGTATCATGCACAATTCAAATCTATAATTTTTAATTATTTTATGTAAAAAAGAAGAAAAAATAATAGTGCAAATACTACTTTAAAGTCAATTTAAATTCGAAAAATAGTTTTTAAAATTTCAGTTTAAGAGAAAACCTTATTCCATCCAGAACCAATCAATCTAGAAAATACAAATTTCCTATATTTAAAGTTTACTTACCATATCCAAGTAATTTTTTAACTACCGAACCAAAGGAGTCAAGTTTGAAGTGGTACGAAAACGGGAAGAATCGCTCAAATATATACTTCAGGCGGAACACTCAAGAGGGCGCAGCGCTACTTTAAAATAAAATAAAATAAATAGAAAGTAAGCCAATAAAAAAAAAAAAAAACCAGAGGGTTACATTTTGGAACGCTTGTATAACAAACGTACTTACAATCATAAAATTTTTTGTTGAACTTCCATTTTGATCGCTTACTTTCCCGTGATTTTTTTAATTTTTACAAAATTTTCGTGGTAGAAAATTAATGTCGTGTTTTTTCTTTTCTCAATTAAACTTTATTAATCACGAGCGAATTACATTTTCTCTCTTTCTTTGTAGATTTTGCCGTAATTATTTAAATGATGACAGCAAATCAAATTGCAACAATGTATAACAATATTATTACAAAGTACAGATTTATCGGTGACATTCTTACTGATGGCAACCATCAGAAGAACAAAAAAATAAATAGATAAAACGAAACAAGACGAACATCCATCCATGCTGTATACCGGATGAGAATTAGATTGCTGTCAGGAGTAATTAAAATGATTGAAATGAAGTGTTAGGAGTTGAGAATTTAAGGACACGTTCTAAGGATTTTATTTAGTTGGTACTATATCTAGGCCCTTCGATGATGGCCTTAATTGCTTATATCTGCAAACCAATTTACTTGATAATGAATGTTTATGTTTACATATAAATTTTATCATTCTTACTTTAAAATATCTTAGCAAACTGGATGTTTTCAGATAGTCATAGTATTGTGGAACTTTTTTTCTGTGGTATAACTTTAAATGATGGCAGAAGTAACTCATTCAGGTAAATATATACACTAAAAAAGAATTTTTTTTATTTGTATTATTAGGAGCGTTAATCATGTGGAATTATTTTACTGATTTTTATCTATTGATATGTTATAAATAAATGTTTATTGGGATATTTTTGTTGTAGTCTATTAAAGAAAACTATTTAGATTACTTTGGATTGGTGCATATATTTTTAAATTTAATATGTATATCTCCCCTCCATCTAATGCATTTTTGCGTCTAAAATTGAATTTGAATACCTTATATTCATCTAAATTAAATTCTTTTTATTGATATCTAATTCTGTCTAAACAAGAATTATTCGAATCATTATATTCATAGGTTTTCTTGTTCAATTCATATTAGATTAAGTTGTTGCTCATTATTTTATATTATTATTACTGATAAAATTTCTATAATATACCATAGATGAAATTAGCAATATTTACTTTATTGTGAGTTATTCTTTGCATAATTTGTTATACAATTTTCGTTATTATTACTGTAAGATTATCCTGAAAGGTTTATTAGTGATTTGAATATTATTTCAGGCTGCTCTATAAATGAGGGTTTTTTAATTAAATTTCTTACTAACACAAATACGAACAACAATGTTGACAAAATTTTAATTTCAAAATTAAAGTTTAGTAAAATGAATTGTAATATTTACGCTTGTAATTTTTGTGTGTGATAAATTTATTTAATATAGATTCAAATAACAATGTTATACATCAAGCTAAATATAATTATAAGCAACCAGGTTTATATATGTTATATGATTGATATGGGATGGTTGAAATCACAAAAAATAATTATAGGAGTGCAAAATCTTGTCAAATTTCTGATTAAATATACTTAATTGATGGTTACTATTAATATTTAAATTCATAAAAAAAAAACATTGATAGAAATTCCAAATAGAAATTTTCTTTTCTTTTTGTTCTAAACTTTTTGGGGTTATTTTCATATCAAAACTTGTTTGTGCAAGCTGAAGTGATGCTGCCGGGTGGTTCTACATGAAAAATGTTTTAATATATATAAATATAATGGCTTACCTGAGGTCTGGGTGTGAGTTTTGCCTATACCATTCTGCGATTTTTTTTAGTTTCTTTTTTACTACTGTTTGGTTGTCACCAATTAACAATTTTTCTAATTGTTCATTTTTGTTTTCTCCATTAACCTGAGGAAAATTCTAAAATTTTTTTCAAGGATTATCAAATATTGAGATGAATAGTTTTTTACTATTTTGCTTGATTAAAAGTATATCTATATATTTACCATGTTCATGCTTTTTTTAAGGAATGCAACTTAGATATTCAGATTACTTGCAATATACTAATTATAAATATTGTTGATCACGTCCTAGCCCAAATTGAATGATAGTGAGAATCATATATGCGTTTTTAGTTAAAGTTTTCAGATTCATTTACATGAACTGTTTTCTTAAATTTTTTTAATGCAGAATAATAATTAGCAAGAAAAAGTACAGTACAGAACCCGTTATCCGGAAATCAGAAAATCGGAAAACCAAAAAACCGGAACGAAATTCAAAAAATTTTCCCGCCATTTTTTTTTAAAAAAATTTTTTTTCCTCATAAGATTTTAGGATTTTTCTTTCTTTTTTGAAAGATGTTTCCTTACCATCATTTTGGAAATAATCATTAGTGTATTACTTCATCGTTTTTTCTTTTTTTTTTAAGATTATTTACAAATATTATTTTTTTTAGTTGGGTTTAACAATAAAAAAACAGCTTTTTGTAGCGATTCAGAAAACCGGAAAAATCAGTTATCCGGGAATAGCAATGGTCCCGATTGTTCCGGATAATCGGTTCCCTTCTGTATAAGAAAAAATTTTTAAGAAATATTTTTAATTTTTATGCGACTGTTGTAAGATCAAGCAAGCCGGGTCACTCAACATAACCTTGGAGGTGAACTCTGTTTATAGGTTTGTTACGAATCATATGATTAAAGAAAATTCGCAACTGAAGGGTCTATTTTTTTTTTTTTTAATGTTTGTAAAACTTTGTTTCTGAAAAAATTTATTAACATACATTGGTTTTGTTACATGTTTATTCTTTTAACTTCTATATTTTATCTTTAGTGGTCTTTTCATCTGAAGGTCAATGGAGGAATAGACCTCCTAGCAAAATACCATCTTTATGGAAATCTTACTGTAAGTTATTTATTTTATTGCAATGTTTTAGCATTATGTAATGAACTCCATCAATTTTAAATAGTTATTTAGGTATTTACTGTTTGAATATTTTTTTCAATTTAGTGTACCAACTTCAGCAAGAAGCTCCAATTCCAAAAAGAATATTGTGTAATCGAGAGGTAGCATGTTCAGATATTCTTTCTTTCTTTGCTTTTTAAATTATTTTTTCTGATAGTTTTTTTTTCTTCAAAGGTTCATGGAAAGCCTTGTCATTATGGAAGAGAGTAAGATTATTTTCTTTGGATATTATAACTTTATAAGTGTTAATAATTTGTGTTATTTTGTTCAATTTCTTGTTAATTATATGAGTTCTTTTGCTATATCAGCATGTATCGGATATTATTATTTTTTTTTTCCATATGTCTAATGTTTTGCTTATCCATATGTTTTTCTTTACTTTTGAAACATAGTAAGCAAAAATTATTTGTACATTTTTACTTTCTCAGATTCCATGGTAAAATATCCAGAGAAGAAGCTGAGCGTTTGCTTGTAGAAGATGGTTGTTATTTGGTTCGTGAAAGTCAGAGAGCTTACGGACAGTATACTTTGAGCATGAAGTAATTTTTTTAATACTTAATTAACTTTTTTTTTTAAATATTGCTTTAAATATCCTATTTCCTTGGAATTATTTATGCTATTTTATGTTCTCAGCTAATAAACTATTTGTGCTAAAAAATTATGTTTTTATTTGTTTTATAATTTCACTTTGCTGAAAAATATTCAATTTTTTACAAATTTTGCACTACATCATTCAGGTTATATTTTTTTGTGTGTATATTATTCATAAATATGAGTCATATAAACTGTAACAACAATAATATAGATAATAATTGTACTGATTATAATACTCTCATATTACTGAAAGATAAGAGAAATAAAATTTCAATAATATTTAACAATAAATATTCAAAATTATGTATTATCAATAATTAATAATAAATTAAACTGTTAAACACTGTGAATAATCTAAAGTATTTAATCAGTATCAATAAATATTATTGCTATTTAAGCTCAAATTGCTTTCATATAATTTGTTTCAAAAGCTGTTATCAGAGGAAAAGTATAAATCAAAATAAATAAAACCATTAATCATCAATATAAATAACATAAGGAAAATTATTGTTAACTATTTATCAAATAAATATATGTTGGTTATTTATTTATTTTTTTGTTTTCAAATTGTTTCAAAATATGTAAAATACATGGAAATCAAATTTAATAACACTTCCATTCCCCACAAGATTTCACTTATTAAAATCATCATTATATTAATCACTACTTTTAGTTGATTTTGAAAAACACTGATATCCTAATAAATGTTTTAATTGATACATGACAACCTAATTAGAGTATCACTATAGTAAATATGTAGACACACCATCATCAGATCATCATTATATTAATCACTACTTTTAGTTGATTTTGAAAAACACTGATATCCTAATNAAATATTGTTCTATTAGAGTATCACTATAGTAAATATGTAGACACACCACTAATTTTATAATTGCAAAAGCAGAAACATTGTCACACTGAAAATCAGGAATCAAAATCACTTTAGTAGACATGAAGATTCACTATTTTTCAAATTGTTAAAGCAGAAAAACTGTCATACTGAAAATCAGGCACCGACATTACTTCATGCTTCATTTTTCCTTAATTTCCCTGATGTAATAACAAGGGAAAGCCCCTTTAAGAAAGGCAGTTTAAATCGGTTTTCTGTGTAGAAGTAGATTTTGGTAACTTTAATACAGTGTAATAATAAAATATTTTTCCACACGCTGCTAAATAAGGCTATTATGTTTCACTGATGAATTCTGTTGTCATAATAGGAAATTCTTTTGAATCTGTTACTAAATCCAATCGTCACTTTAGAAATCTTCAGATATGATGAGCTGGATGGGGGTGGGAGGGGTCATAGTTATTGCACTCTTTAATACCCACATTTTAATTATCCTGTCGGCTTGAAATGACTGTTTGGCCAAACAATGAAATAAATTAATAATGTGTGTTAAAAGAAGATTTTTTTTTATTTAATCAATTCGGAGACACTAACATCCAAATCACTCATATCACTGTGTTCCACTATTTTAATTCGGGGAAAAGCTTCACAAGTATTCCCCATCTTTCCCAAATCAAATGAAAAAAAAATAAAAAATATTATTTATTGTAATTTCTTCATAAATTAGATTGAGGGATTTCTCAGGTTCTATTGCATGCTTAAGGCAGAAACTTCAAATAATAATTATTACATNTTAATAATGTGTGTTTAAAGAAGATTTTTTCTATTTAATCATTTCAATTTGGAGACACTAACATCCAAATCACTCATATCACTGTGTTCCACTATTTTAGTTCGGGGAAAAGCTTCACAAGTATTCCCCATCTTTCCCAAATCAAATGAAAAAAAATAAAAAATATTATTAATTGTAATTTCTTCATAAATTAGATTGAGGGATTTCTCAGGTTCTATTGCATGCTTAAGGCAGAAACTTCAAATAATAATTATTACATTCTTTAATCTATTTTTAGAAGAATATGTGAATTATTAATTAAGTCAACAGGTTTCATTCTGAGTAATAAATTTAAAGAATTTAAGCAATATATATATATATATAAATAATTCTTTGAAGCTTTTTTTTTTTTAATATTACATATGTAAGTCTTTCCATTGTAAGCTTTCCTCAGATTTTTTGTAAACCATGCAAATTTTTCCTGCAGTTCTCCCAGCATAAATTTTATTGTAGTGAATCTCATCATCAAATCTAAAATGTCACTATCAATATATAATGTCTTGTATAAAACTGCTCTGATCAAATGTCCAGCATCCCCATAAAAATTCATATATCTTTTTTTCTTTCAATTTCTTTTTGCATTTCTTTACCTCCATATCCAGTAAAAAAATTTTAAAACAGGAACTGTTGTTCATAAAGCATTCACTTCCTCTGACTCCAGAACTTTAAGTGCCAGCATTTCATATCATAACCTTACTTTCATTTAATTTCACTTTCAAAAATGTAAGAATGCCTATAATAATATTAACTCTGCAATGTAAATCTTAAAACACCACATTTTCAGCCTGTTATCGCCAATGTTGGCGAGGAAAAAGAAAATAGGTGGCAGAGTAATAAAAAAGCAGTTCTGTATTTCCTTCGTCTAAACTTCTTTTTAATGTGAACTATTAAAAATATGAAAACTTATCAAACTTATTAGATTGAATTAATTTTTAAAAAATTCTGTAATTGTAAAAAAATAAAAATACTAAAGCTTCTCATGTATTGAAATTATTATCATTAAAATTAAAAGAAAATGTTTAATATTTCAAATTGTAATATATTTGATTGTTTTTAAAAGTCTGTTTATGATAATCTAGTTACAAACATTGAAAACTGCACTTCTTTATCAGAATTTTTCATCCAGTTATATTTAATTTCTATGTTAACTCTTTAACGAATCTACAGAAGGAATGTTAGTCATTTGTGACATGTATTGCATTATCTTTTGTTGCGTTATTTAACCATACATTGAATGAATTTTAATATTTGTATCATTAAAATTTTCTTGAATAATATTTTAATTTTCTATATAAGCAAACTACTCATAGTTCTTCTCTCTTGTAGCAGCTTTTTTAAATGCTATAAAGAGGGTTAAGCTATTACACTATGCGTTGAAGTCACTTATGTTTCATATTCTTTTTTTTTTGCAACATCTTATTGTTTGTCATTTATTGAGCAGACTGTGATAAATAGACCATCATTGATTTGATTGTACATTTTATAAATATTTTAGTTTCCACTATAGTTATAATTCTGAAGTGGTTGTTTATTTATTTGATATTTATTATTTATTTTCAGTTGCAAATAAGTTTAATGTTGAACTGTAATAAGATTGGTATTTTATTTATAAATATTTATTACAGATTTGGTGGTGTTACAAAAAATTTTAAACTCTATTATGATGGTAAACATTATGTTGGAGAGAAGAGATTTGACACTATTCAAGATCTGGTTGCTGATGGACTTATATCTATGTTTTTGGAAGTTCATGCCGGTGACTATATTGCAACTATGTGTATGGAATCAAAATATGAAGACAGCCCTTACATGACGCTCAATTCTTATAAAAGGAAAATTACTCGTAATCGTTCTCGCAATACTGTGAAACATGCTAAAGATGAGGTTGCTTTGAAAAAGGATTATCCTAAAGGTGAAACTTTTCATGAGTATGATAAGCCTACTGTTGAAGTAAGTTTATTTATTTATTTTTTTTAAACATTAATACTACTTTTATAATAAAATACAAACATGTGTAGGAGTACTAATAATGAGTAAAATAATTTGATATTTTGCAAATTTAAACATTCTAAGTGATTAAACAAACTGATTCAATTATTATCAGAGAACAAATTATCAACATCCTGATATCTTAAAAGAGTATGATTCATGGGGCTATATTTTTAAATGTACAAAACTCTCATTTTGGACTTTATAAAAGAAATGTCAACTTCATCAAAAAAATATTGTTCTATTTTATTTGTTCGTACCTGAAATTTAACATTTCTTTATAGTCCATACATATGCTTCAGATAGTTGCTTGTGGTTATAGACATTCAATTCAACATTAACTAATCATTAAGAGTTATTTACAGATAGATAGTAAATAAATGATTAAAAAAACTGAGTGTTTTTTTATTTATTACTTAATCATATAAATTATCATTATTTAGGTTTACTTCATTTTAGGAAATACTCTTAAGTTATCTGTTGATGAATGAAACGAAATTTAATATCTATCTTTTGTTAAACTTTTTTTAATCAATTTCTTTTCATAATAAAACACTGTTTTTATGCATACCAATTCTCAAATGAGTTTAATACAAATATGTTTTCATTCAAATGTGTTTTCATTTTTGGTATAATTTTTATCATAATAAGTGCTGCTACAAAATAGTTTTTGTTTTACAGCCTCCGTCTGATGATGTGTTTCTTCATGAAGATGGGGATGATATTGATGTTCTTCAGTTTGCTAAAATGCATGCATTTAAGGTTTGTGGAAAAATTGCTTTGTGGAAGTGTGTTTTCTTTTGTTGTAGAACTCTACAATTATCGTCATGATCAAACTACACTATAGCTCTCTCTAGAGCTGAAAATTCTTGACTGATTGTTTCTCTATGTAAAATAGTTGTTATGTCTGCCAAATACCATTTTTCTAAATTGGTTCATTTAATTTTATTAATTGTTTTAGTGTTACTAAAATTTACATTCCTAAAGATATTTCTTGATATTAGCTGCTTAAAACATATTTTTAAATTCATAAAACTTGGGATACTTAAGCATAAATACACAAGTGGGCGACCCCACTTGTATATATATATCACCAAGTATAGTCACCAAGTATATGATGTACTTAAGCATGTTATTCAGTTAAAAACTTTGCACTGAAGATTTTTAATTTATTCATTCCTAATTTTGAGATTGATTAAAATATGCACTTTGAAATATTATACATGACTCATTCCCAGTGAAATCGACCAATGACTATTTCCACCATGTTACAGATTTTTGTGAAGGACTGAAATTTTTTGAACCAGAACTACAATGGAGGAGCCATTTTGAAATATGACTAAATTTAACAAAATTGCATAACTTCTAATGGTGGCTCATATGTTTAAAGCTATCTTATCTTTTTTTATTTGTGAGATAATTTTTTTAAAATTTTGATGTTAAAGAAAAAAATTTTAAACTATTTACCTACTAAATTATTAACTTATTAAAATGCTGAAAATGAATACATAAATATGTAAAAAAAATTTTTTAATAATGTTAAATGTCATATTTCTCAATCTAAAAAAAATTGATGTTTTTTGTTTTGGGTCAGTAAGAACAGTGGTTTAATCGTTAAAACAGTTTACGAATTTTTTTGTAGCCATAAGACAGTTTCTTTATTTTATTTTTTAAATATGTTAAATGATATATTTTTCAATGGAAAAAAAATTCAAGGAAGTGTTTTTGGGAATTAAAAAAATAAAAAGTAGTTTTTGACTTAAACAGTTATATATATATATATATATATATATAAACTCTAGGANTAGTTACATTTATTAATATCTTACAGACAGCAGTGTAGTTTATTGACATTTGCTCAAGGAAAAAAAAAAAAAATAGAAATTCACCAAGTTTTGAATGCCAGGAAAATGACATATTAACTTAGAAGTTGAGGAAACAGTAATTTTAAGCTAATACTAAGTAACTTAACTTAAGAAACTTGAATAGTTAATTTTAACTTTTTATGTAAATAAATTCCAAAAATAATTATTGTGAACAATTTGAGCATGCATTCTTCTCCTCTTCCTCGTTTTTTTTTTCTTTTTTTTTTTCTCAGTTTATTTTTCCTTGATTGTTTTTAGACCCCATGTTTTGAAATAACCTAGTAAAATAAATTTTATAATAATTTACTGCTGAAATTTTTTTATTATATTATTTAAATTTAAAATATTTCAAATCATTTTATTTTGCAATTTTATTACATTCTTTACATACACACATGTAAAGCTTAAAAGAATTAAATTGCACAGTGATGTCCTTAGCTTATCCTTTATAGCGTTATCTATTAAGAAGTCTATCTATTATAGTTATCTATTTAAAGTCTTTCTATTAAATGGAAACTCTATTAAAAATTTTACACTATAAAATTTTTACAGGGATGAATTCAGGACTTGTATGCTTGTTTTTTTATTTTCAACAAATGCAGTAAAATATTTTGTTAGGGTTTTGTAGTTTCACAATTATTGATTTATATCAACATTGATTTCAATCAGCAAGACATTAATCAAAATTATGAGGAAGTGATCGTCCACTAAAATTACTTGTGTATTAAAATGATAAGCAGCACATTCATTGTGTTTTTGCTTCAAGATTATTAAAACCAGGATTGACAAATTTTTGACAGTTTTAACCATGATTTTAAGTGCCATGTCAAAACCTTTTTTTGTCAAGTGTGAAAAACCATAGTTCTGGAATAAAAAATAAGTATTAGCCATCATAAGCACAAAGTAATTATTAATAAAAGTACATGCAAAGTTACAAGTGATCAATCTATGATCTTAAATAGTTTTTACATTATAATCTTAAATCATTACATTATACATTTTACTGTTCGTTTTGAGAATTTTTGGAAAAAAAACTTGCCTATCAGCTTTTGACACTTTTTGTTCGATTTCAACTGTTTTTGGCACTTCTCGACAGTCTTGACACTTTTGACTGGTTTTTGATGTGTCATATCAAATAACAATTTTTGACATAAAAAATTCCACCTTTATTGAAACCCTACTTTGAAATTATTTGTTATAGTAAATCTTGAACTCTATTACAAATTGTAATTATTTATTGGTATGAGGGAATATTAACCAATTAATACTGGCTATTTTTTTAATGTAACAGTAATATAAAATAGTTATAAGTTGTTCAATATTGGTACAATTTTATTGGAAAATGTTAAAACTTTCTGTTCTAAACAAAGTAATTGTAAAATAAATATTAGTATTTGATTTTATTACAATTATGTTGAACAAGTTATGTATTTTAGTTTGCAGTTTGACTTTTTTTAAAAGAAGTGTGGTGTTCATTTGTGGACTTTTGAGTATCAATTATTCATATTTCCACAAAAAAATTTTTCCCTAATCAAAAATATAATTTCCTTTACTTAAGCAAAATCTCGTTAACAAGACATTTATTCTGCTCTTTCCAGCACCCTTTGTTTTACTCATTACTTGCCATAATGACTATTTTTTATGCAGATTTCTTAGATAAAAACGCAACTTTGAAATCGTGAGACTGAAGAAAAAAATTTCACAATAACTTCGGCTAAAATTAAGGAACTATTAAGGCAAACACAAAAGTATAGAATTGATAATCTAAAAAATAATTCTGCATTGGCAACATTAAAAAGATTCTTTGCTAGAAAAAATTTTGTTTTTTTTTTTCCTCATTTTTTTTAAAACTTATATTTTAATGAGTAGCAATTTTGTTGCAGATTTGGATTTGCAAAAGGAGAATTGTTTAATTAACATGATATATTTGCCTTTTTTTTCATTTGGCTACAATTAGAACAAACTAATGTTTAGTATGACATCACTACATAGAAATTTCTATCATGTATATCAGTAATCTCACTTTTTAAAGCACTCAAAACCATTATAAACTTCTATTTCAACTGTTTTTTTTGTTGTTGCAGTTAATGCATTTTTTTCAATAGTTTTTAAAGTTCTGATATTATTACAACATGCAAACGTTTCCATAGATATTATTCAGGACTAGATTAAGTTTAGTTTGTTTTATTGTTTTTTTTTCTTTTTGTAAAGTTTATTAACCCCACTCTAACCAACTTCACATTAAGCAACTTTTTCTGAAATTACTTCTATTCTAAATTGAAAATGTGTGGAAAAGTATTAGTAGCCAATTTTAGAATAGTTTTATACCCAAAGTGAATGCCAACTAACTGGGAGGCTATCAAAATAACTTCTTAAGTGCTTTATGGGGAGAATCTGTGTATGAAACTGGGGTGTCCAAATTTGTTATTGTAGTTTTTTAATTGACTGGTGGTGTGTGTCACTAGGATTTGTCTTCTTCTAGAATTCTTAAAGTTTAGTTCTGTAATCTAGAAGAATGTGTAAATAAATTTCCAATAAATCCTCTTTACTACTAGTATTTAGTGTAGACTTTCACATTATTTTAAATTTTTAAATTATGGAAAGTGTTCACTCATAAGTAAAGGATACATTGATGTAATAATATACTGATGTGTAAAATATACTGATTCCACTATTTCAACTTTATAGGAAGAACAAAAGTAGATCCTTTGTTGTTATAACTCTGAAAAAATTTATGAGCTTAAGTGCACATAAATAAGGAAATAATTCATATCAGTTTCAAAGAGTTTATTATGTGTTCTTGCCTCTAGTAGTTGAAATAATTCAGTTTTTATCCTTGTTGTTTTTAATATTTGCATTCTGATGATTTTTTTCATATTTAGGTTAATAATTTTATTGGTCTGCCATGGTGCGATTTTTGTGGAAATTTTATGTGGGGATTAATTGCTCAAGGTGTAAAATGTGAAGGTAAGTAGCCAATAATTAAATTCTGAAGAATTCCAGATTTTTATTAATCCTTGTCTATAAATACCTATGTTTTGTTTCAGACTGTGGTTTCAGTGCTCATAAGAAATGTTCAGAAAAAGTACCAAATGATTGTATGCCTGATTTAAAATATGTAAAAAGAGTTTTTGGAGTTGATCTAATTACTCTTGTGAAGGCTCATAACACATTACGACCTTTTGTAGTTGATTTATGTATAAAAGAAACTGAAAAGAGAGGTAATTTCTTTTTTAATTTTTTAAATCTTTTGATTGCAATATTCTTATGATCTGTTTTATTTTTATCTGTATATTATACAGTAGAACTCTAATTATCCATTATTATGTCATATACTTTTAGATAATAAATTTTTTAAAGTCAATTTTTTATAAACAAATATTAAATTCTGATTTAAAATGCTAAAAATAAGTAAATAAAAGTTTAAAACAAAAGTGAGCTTTTTTAAACTTAATTAAGTTTTTTAATAAAAACTTAATCAATTTTTTAAATAAGCTTGGATTTTATTTTTTAATATTTTTTTTATATCATAAAGAATTATAAAATTTCCCGGAAAAAAAATCAGTTGAACACCATTGTTTTTGGTTTTATGGTTGTTTTTTAGAAGCCAGATTTTGAATTCATCATAACAATAGTTATTTTTGTAACTTTAACTTCTTTCTGTTTTTAAAATCATTCTAAGCATTTAGTTAGCACAACAAAGGGAATTCAGTTTTCTTCATGATATTAAATTAAAATTGAAAAAATGATAGAGGTTCAATTGAATATATATATATATATGTGTGTGTGTGTGTGTGTGTATTATATATATATATGTATAATATATATATATATATATATGTATAAAAGAC